CAACATTCGATTGGGAAGTATTTAATTGATCTGGCATTGTTGGATTATCATTGTATGAACTATAAACCATCGTTAATTGCTGCATCAGCCACATACATTGCACGGTATTTGTTGACATACAAAGCAACCCTTCTTCTTAAAGCATCATCGAAAACAAATATAGGCGAATATAGTTTGTTGTTTAAAAAGTATGAGCATGAGAATTTATCGAATGCAAGTGCATTTTGTGTCAAACAACAAAACCTAATTAAAAAACTGGTAAATAGCTGTCAGTAAGAGACAATGATGTTTTTTTCTGGTAAAATAAGATGACTTTTTTATTGTTTTTTTCTTTAATGTTCTGTCTGCCATACCGGTATATTCAATGTAGTATTTCACCTTTTGTATGTACAATTAGATTGATTCATTTACGTTTAAATAACGTTGTTACTGTTTTTTCGGATTCAAATAACATGATTTATCGAAGTCAGATGAAGTATGTGTTGTTTACATAATATCATTTTATGGGCAGATACCACTTTTACTCTTTCTTATTCTTAATTTTATTAATTGTACATTATTTGTATGTGTTTGTTCTCTACTTTCTTGTTATTTGTGTGTGAGTGCGTCTTTATTATAAACTTTATCTATTAGAATGCTTATTTTTTTGGACCTTAAACTTTTTTTAATTGAAATTTGTCTTACTTTATTTGAATGTCTGTCTTTTATATGCGAGATAAAGTAAATGCTATGCATCTTGGCATCCAAAAGAAAAAAGATTTTGAAGCTGTACAAATCCCATTGTACAGAAGAAACTTGCCTGTCTAAAATGAACAACAAGTTTTACGAGTTAAACGCAAAGTTAGTCGCTCTCAAAGATCAAATATTGTCTGATTTATAGAATTGTTGATAAAAAAGATTCGAACTAAGGTTACTACTGACTTGAGTGATAAAAAAAGAACAGCAATGAATAACAGTTTCTTAAGACTGTCTTCTTCTTTTAATTCAGGTTCCTAATTATCTACATCTAATTTTAATATTGCTCTTTGATATTGTTTGATCTTCACAAACCAATTATGGACAATTCGCGTCCTAGATTAACTGATTTTTTTCTTTTGGATGTAACGAAAAAATGAGTACATCTCTAGTTATCTCAGACTGTATACAACGCACCATAGATAGTATTTGAAAAAATAAATAGCAAATAGCAATGTCATTATATTTACTATTAGAAATATGCACTATGTTTTAATGAAAAATTGTTTTGAGTCCAAAAAAGAGAAGAATGAAGTGTTTGGTATTCATTCAATATTGCAAAAATAGAAAGGCAAGAGACTTTCGAACTATTCATCCAACATTTAAGTTTTAAAGTCCAACATTTCATTTCTTATGTGCTCCTCACATTATGGCGTCAAAGTGCATTCGTTCTCAAATTTAGAGCAGTCGGCTAACAAACTAATGGTGTGTCTCATATGTAACGACAACGCCTCCTTTTCTCTCTATGTTACATATTCTCTACACTTTTTTTTATTCAGATCACATCTCCAACGCGTGTCTTATGTCAAATTTCTCGTACACCAATGTACACATCTCACAGAATGAAGAAAAAAAATGGGTGTGTTATACCATACGTTTTTCGTTTAGTTGGATGTATGACCGACAACATGAATAAAGGATGAATAAGGAAATTTTTTCTTTTTCCTTTTCTAACGATGTCAAACTGTGTAAAAATAAGAAGTGTGTCTATGTGCGTGATCAATGCATGGTACAAGTTCCACCACATATAGACCGTATGATGCAACTACACAAGGCAAATTATATTGCTTTTATACCTGTTTTTCTCTTTTACAGTTCATATGTACATAAACACAATCTCTTGATCATCAACTACTACAAAAGTGATTCAGCTTTCATCTAAAAGGCTAAATTGTATTATACCATTGCATTTCATATATAATTATATGAACAAACCTTTTCGTGAATAAATATGTTTTGTGTCGAAGAGCCAAGGATAATTTCACATTCTCGTTGCGGAGTATCAAATATAAATAATCCTAAAGAATCGGTAGGTGTTTCGAATGACGAATATAGGCGTATTTTGAATTTAAATATTTTTTATTATTGTTTGTAGCCTGACCGTGCATTACAAGCAGCAGAACTCTTAATTTGGTTTAGTGAAAATAATTTAAACAACAACAACACTCAAGAAATAACAGATTGTTCTCAGAAAAATGATATATTTCAAAAACCAAAAAAACCACATCCAAAATTTAGACGGGTATGTTGGAATCTATTTCAAATATCAATTCCGCCGTGAAATCATTCATTAATGATCTCTCAATTTTTTTAGTATATAACCAATGATCGAGTATCACCATCGTTTAACAAGTTCTTTTCATCATCTTCGGATTCTGATTCAACTGTTCCTAATACGTCACGATCATCACCGCCCATCAATTCATTATTTTATCAAATTCCATTGACAAATCGATCGGATATCGCAGATCCTGTCCTTCTACACCAACAACAGCCACAAACTCTATCAACTGATCTGTCATATTCACCGTGTAGTACAAGACAATCTTTATCATTTTCATCATCCAGTCCACCAATTGACAGTGATAGTGATTTTTATTCTCGTCATACTGATGACAATTCATGTTCATCATTATCATGTTCTTCGTTATCTCCGACATCTGTTTCTTCCGAACAGTCTTCTGACGATTGCCATATTTTATACATTCAAGTGAATGGTCAATATATTCCAATTGCAAAAACAACATTTCCTCTTCAGACAAAAACCTTTTTACAATCAACAAATAGTACTCAATCACAATCTCCAGTACCATCGAATAGTAATCAAACGGATGATAACATTACGGAACCTCTAGTCTCACCAATACAACTTTCGCAATCTGTTCCTTCGACAACAAAGCCAACAAAACAATCATTAGATAGAAAGAAAAATTATGTATGTTCACATAATGGATGTAAAAAAGCTTATTATAAAAGTTCACATTTGAAAGCGCATATTCGATTACATACCGGTAAGCTATGTTTTGGGATAAATTATTTCGTGTTAGAGAAGTAGCGTAAGAAAACATAAATATGTCGAATCAGACTTACTCTAGACTATTTTCCGAAACTGATAGGGTACGCACCTGTTGTTTCAAGGAAATATTTAAGGTTTTTATTAATTTGAGGGTATATCTACTCTTTTTGTCCTCAGGTATCATTCGTCTATGATATTCAAATCTTGTCTAGTATTATTGAAAACGAGACGAACACCGTTCGTACGTTTCAGTACAATGACATCTTTCTACAAAATACACGATGACAATTTTTTCGTTCTTTGTAACCAAATAGTTACAAATATTATTTCTAATGTATATATTTAAATGACGCATCGAAGACGAAGTGGAAGAAAAAAAAAACAGAGGTGCGCATTCTTATCATATATTTACAACCTAAATTGTGAATAATGTTGTTCAGTATAGTATTTTTTATCCACTTTTGAGAACGGAAAAATATACTGTCTCTATATTTCACCTTACTCAGACACATGAAAAAAAGAGAACTAAAAGAGCAAATTGAGTTAAATCATATGCATAGCCGAAATTACAAAATGTTATCTGTCATCATAAATAAATGTCAATGAGTGCATTTAATAATTGAAGAAAAAACAGAAAAGAATACATGTTATTCAAGAACACGTCATATTTTCTCTTTGGAAAATGTCAAAAGTCACGTGTTACGTCACGTCACGTTGATCGCGCATTTATTTGTCTAAAATATTTTCAGTGAATGAAGTAAAAAACAAACACAATAAAACAACTTTTTTTTCTTCCTTTTAACATTATACTTTTAGCAATTGTGTTTAAAAATAGCTAACATTGAGATAAAAATAGAAGTTGTAAGTTTTTTTTCATATATACTTCCACGTCACAGTGTTTAGTCATCCTTGTAAAATGTCGCTGCGGTTACAGTTTTGAGTAATTAAAATCTTCGTACTCATGATGTAGCACATGTTTTTGAATTTTGTAGTTATAAGGTTATTTTTGATATTCTAAAATGTTGTATGTTTTCATTTTAGGTGAAAAACCGTTCCGTTGTGCATGGGTAAATTGTCATAAAACATTTGCACGTTCTGATGAATTATCTCGTCATCGTCGAACTCATACGGGTGAAAAAAATCATGTTTGTACAATATGTCAAAAAGCTTTTATGCGTAGTGACCATTTAGCCAAACATCATAAACGTCATTCAACTTCATTAACACTCAGTAATCATCAACGACAAAACTACGATATGAAAAAATCAACTTCATTAACAGAAGAGACCAATGCACTTGAATTGTGAAAATAATTGTTATTGTTTTTTTTCATATAAAATGTAAATAGTTCTAGTCATGATAAATGTATGCTTTTTTTGTTCTCTAAAAAAGAACAATTTTTTTTTTTATTTTATTGTTGTAGAATAGCTGATAACTTACATTCTGTTACTATTACTCTTTTATTATAAAAATTAACGAAATTGACTTATTTTATATTATTTTCCTTTTAATAAGGAACATAAAAAAAATTATTTTTGTATTAGTAAATAACAGAATATGTTGGTTATGTTGGTAGCGTTTTTTATGGGTCATTTAGAATATTCAACTAAGTTGAGAAAATTTTAAGTCTATATACATAAAAATATGTAATGTTAACGTTATTATTGTTTTTATACAGTATTCATACAAGTAACCAGATGATCTTAATAAAAGTAATAAAAAATAGACATTATTATTTATATAGTGTATGATCACCAATATCCATTAGCGCGTACTCATATTACACTAGAATACGATCGAAAAATAATTTCTTCTCCATATATCTTCGGAAATTATTGGTGAAGAAGAGTCGATTACTTAATTAGGTCAATAATAAAAGATTATTAGATAACGTTCAAATATGCGTAGTTTACACCAAAGGTGGTACATCGGGATCATCAATGAAGTCTGTTGAATTTTCTCTATCTATATTTCCTGTTTTCTTTTGTTGAACACGATTCGTTCGTTTAAGATTATTTTGTGCTACAATTTGGCTATAATCGACTTTTTTTGTTCCAATCTCCAAATAATTATTATTGCTGATTCTAACAAGAAAAAAAAAGAAAAACTTGAAGATAATCTAATTCAAGTGAGCATCTGAATAAAAGCATCATACTTTTCATTTGATTTTTCTTCTTTGTCGGCTAATCTATTTGATTGAGTTATTTTTGTTATTGTTGGTAACGTTGAAGATGAAGATTTATTCGTCTTAACAAAAAAAAATATTTAGAACATTCGATAGGAATTGAATTAGAGAATCAAATTATATTCTTACTTTAGGCATTTTAATCATAAGATGACCAGTTGTTTGAGAACGTTTGGCGTCGGCTAATGATGCATTTACTTCTTCGGGCAATGCCAGTTGCAAAACCTAAAACAAGAAAATGAGTCACTAATACAATGGAAGTATTTAACTTTTTAAATAGAATAAAACTCTTTCTTGAAGTTTCTATGCTTTCTATTGAGTATAAATTGAAATTGATTTACTTCTACCGATAATTAGTAGAATATGTTATACCTTTCCTTTAATTGTCACTCGAACATAATTCGGTTGGACATCAACATCGATCAATGATGTGTCCATATGACGATAAACTGATACATCGAGCATAATACAATCATCATCATCATCTAACATTTTAAAATCCACTCTAGATAAAAATGAAGAACATCTTCATGCTCTGCTGTAATTTTAGGGGATAAGTTAACATACTTAGGTTCATTACAATTTAAAATACGTCCATCTTCGCCGATATATTGACGTGGTTGTTTTGTTTCAGTTTTTTTCCTACCAAAATTTAAAGATTTATAGGTTCAATTCCTTTTTGAAGGTAGTACATACTCTTTATCATTGTGGTCACGATTTTTTTTCAGTTTTTCATGTGATTCAATTCGAGATTCGGGCGTATATTCTGTATGTCGATTCCAAAAACTAAAATTAATAAATATCATCTGAATGTGCATGATTTATCAATATAATACATACTCTTGATCATCTGAGTTTTCTGACAATTTTTGTTCTGACACTTTTTTATATTCAGCCTTTTGTTTTTCCTAAAACAAGAGAAACAAAATAAAAATAAGAAAACCTTCGAATGAGGATTGTCCTACTCTCTGTAATTGAAATTCTTTCTCTCGTTCAAGAATACGTTTCGATATTTTATCATAATTCTAAATAAAAGTCGATTTTCAAAACAATCATCGATATTTTCAACCAATAATTTGTTTTACCTGTAAAGCCAATATTCGTTCTGTTTTCGTAATTTCAACTCCATCCAAACTCTACGTAAACAAAAAGAATAAATTTTCTTCTAATAAAATGATCATCAACAGAAATAAGCTATTCAATGCCGGACTGTTTGTAAGATCAGTCAGATACAATTTGAATAAATACTAACACAAATTTGTGGTAAAGTGGCAACAACATATTGACGATAGTTTTCATAGTCTGTGCATGGATTACCAGTCAAATACCTAGGATAGAGACGAACAGACTCAGACTGTGACTAGCACGAGTACTACTTTATTCTCATCATTTCCTGATCAATTACCTACAATTCTTTCAAGTTGTTATTATCTCGCAAATTTTCTACACTTGTTAATAAACCAATAAAGTTCACAGTTAAATCAAGTTTATTCAATGATTCACATCCTGAAAACAAAACATTATTTATATCAAATAATCATGCAACAAACACGTTTGAATATGAAAAATACCTTCTAAGTTTTCGATTACTTCGATATTATTCAATGCTAAGTTTAAATATTCAAGTTTTTTTAGACGGTTAACATTTTCTACAACAATAATAACTTTCATGCTACAAAGACAACTGTAGATATTCATAAAAAAACTCACCAATTTTTGGAATTAAATTGCTTTGAAGATATAGAATTTTTAATTCTCGACACCATTTATCAAGAAACTCAATTCTACAAAGTATTACATAACAAAGGTAAATATCTTGGAAGAGACAGTAGTGTTGTCAATCATCTTACTTTTCGATGTCCTGTTGATGTAAAGATACTTCTTCCAATGAAAACAATTCACCTTCATTATGTTCAGCTCTTTTACGAATTAAATTCTCTGTAACTATAACAAATAATAAAACATTAGTTCAAATTTTATCCTTAAGATAAACGTCAGAATCTTCTTGCCACCTTTTTGAGAAAGATAGATAAGAAGTTTTCAATTGTTTTTCTGACAAAAGATTCACAGTTGTAAAAAGCGTGTGATAACTGTAAAATTCCCATACTCACTAAAAACCATGATATTATAATTGTATTTAATGTTTAATCTCTTAATGAATTGAATGAATTAATCAAAAGTCAAGGAAAAAAATTGAAACGAAGACGTTTATAGGCTACCATAACGAACACTCTTCGTATTTATTGTCAAACACAGACCTCTGCTGAACTCGAATCACAATGTAAGGACGATAGATGTCGCTATATAAATATAGGAGAAAACCCCAGTGATGAGAAGCTAGAATGAATATGATGTCAATATCTTCTATATATGTACACAATTATTTTCATTTTAGCGTGATGTTGAACAATAAAAGGTGATAAATACTAATAGCGTAGCGAAGAGATGGAGCCTAGCGAGCCCAAGTTCAGGTCTACGCGTTAATTTACACTGGAAAATATAGAAGAAAACATCAACATCAACAACATTTGTTCGTTTGCACCTCTCTACCTAGCTCTTGTGAAGCGAGGTAACTTTGAGCACTGTGCATACTATTAAAAAATGTTGACGGAAACTGAAAAATGTTCGTAAATAATAAATGGATATTAATTTTCAGATGGCAGTCAAATAATACGCAGGACCGAAGTACAGAATGAAAGAAGAAACAATTTGTTTGGGGAAAAAACTTTTTTTGATCCGTTGAAAAAAAATTGAATCTTCGAAAAATCCTGGTTGTGCAACTGGTGAATTCCGTCTAATTAGTTTTACAATATTTTTTTATTAAAACATAGTCTATAAATGTGAATAAAAACACAAATAAAAAAACAATTATGCCTTCTTTGTATCACAAAAAACCTAAAAAAAAAAAGTCAACAGTTTCGAATAACTAACATTTATTTTACTGAGAAAAAACCACACAAAAAATCGTATATGTTAATAAGTTAAAGTTAAACTATATTTGATCGTAATATTAAAAAAAAGAAAGTAAAACATCTATATATTATTCGAATTGAATTATTTATTTAGAGGTACGTCGTTGAATTATGCAACTGTTCTAACTCTAAGAGAAAGAAGAAGAAAAAAATGCGTATTATAAAATTTTAACTTTTTGATTCTGTGTAGTATACGGAAAAATAAAACACACATCAATCAAAGAAAACAATTGAAGGATAGTAAATTTTTGACTTAAAAAATGTTTTGTACTACTATTGTATGTAGAATAGATTTATATATATTCAAACAGTAGAGTCAACACCGGAGAAATGCTAGCGTTATTAGAAAATGATTCAGTACAAAATTTTGAGATAAAAAATGCATAATTTTTGCGTTTTAAACACCTATTCATCTCTTTTTTTACAATATTATATTCATATATATAATGGATTATGTTTCTACTGGCATAGTGCGATCAAAACTAACTTAATTAAAGTTTTATTCACAGACAAAAAGAGATATGAAAATTGTTCTGTAAAAATATTTGTAAGTATAAATTAAAATCGTATTACTTTATCTATCGAAATTGGGAAGACAACAAATCATCCCGTCATGAAAATGTCGTAGGTTTATTTCAACTAGATGAAGCGGATCTGACGAAAAGAATTTATTGTCAAGATTTTTCTTGGGATCATTTCATCCTTCGTCTACAACCAACATTGGTTTAACTATTGATAAATATAATTCATATGAAGCATTTATGATGCCCCAACTAATCAATGAACGCACAACTAAATATAAAAATGAGATAATAAAAGTGAAATATCTATATAAAAACAATAACTTACAATTCCATTTAGCACCTCTATAGAATTCCTTAACCGATTGTCCTCTTTCATCATATACTGAACGTAACATTTCATACGCGTAAATTTTTCTTCCACCCAATTCGGATTGAATATTATTTTTGATGACATTAATTGGATACGTCAATGTACTCAATACTGCACCTAGTAAACCGCCACTAATAAAATCATACAATGAATTTTTCCATTTTGAATTTGTTTTAGGTAGTTTATTTTTTAATGGTGTCCGAAAAGCAAAAAAAGCAGCATTACTCGTACTATTCCGCAATACAATCAAACTAAATCCACGATAAAACTCTCGAATACCATTAAATTTATACATTTCAGCGAATGCATGAGTGGCTGATGAAAGTGATTTGTTATATTTTGGTGTTTGTAGTAAAACTTGTGTACGTTCGAGTGGACATAAAATAGCTTCAGTAGCACCTGCCAATAGACTTGCAATCGGTTGATGATACCAATGCTCTTCACTTGACCAAGTTTGCATAATACGTAAGTAATGATTATTGGTACCAAACATGATTCCCAACGACATGGTCTTTTGAATCAATGGTAAAGATAAACCTCTGTATAATATAATGAAACCTTCACGTTTCAATTGTTGATAGGCATCAGTAGATGTTAAACCATGAATTTGTTGACGAAATATTAGCTTATTAAGAGGATATGTAAGAAGAGTATTAGTTGCCGAAGCTAAAACACCAGCGATATATTCGGGAGCACGACGTTTGATACGATCTTTTCTTGTACGACTGATGACTTGTTGACGTTGTTGTTGATGAAGATTCATTGGAATGATTCATTTGAAGATCGTGTGGTGATCAACGCTTATTCTGGAAAAAATCTGATGCTTAAGATGGTCAGAAACACATCCATCTATAAAAATAAACAAGTATATGCTATAATCTAAAGCATGATGACTCGTTAAAACATTATATTTTGGATTGCATACAATCATCATAGATCTTCTTTCTGCAAAAGTCGACAATTTATTAATAACAAATTTTTTAAAGATGCATTTCATAAACTTTTTATCCTTACCAGATCTAAAGTCAGGAAGGTCTACATGCATACATGAATAATGTGACTAAAATAATCTGTCGATTTCTATCATTGAACAACGATGTGATAATACACAACAGATAGGCATTTGTTGATATAAAAATGATTCATTTCTTTGTGAGCATTCTGAAAGCATATTTTTAATTGTGTATTTTTAACAAACAAATTTACAAATAAACTGAGAAATAGAAAAGCTTACTTTGTACATGAGATAAAAACGATGACTTCGGTAGTTATTACAGTGTATATAAATAAACAAGATATATATATATATAAAAAAGATGTAAAAAAAAGAAAGAACAAAAGAAGAGAAGGTAAAATGACATGGTAAGACAAATATCGACTAGTTTAAATAAAATTGCATAAAAGTAGATAACTATCTGTAACGTAAAAAATGATTATACATTTGTACAATATCATTTCATTTATATATAGACGGGACATTCATTTATAAAACAGAGAGTTTAACATTCACTTGTTGCTGGTCCCGTACGTTGTTGATAGATTGGAACAGATGCTCTAAAATACAAATAATAATTATACTAGAAAAATGTAACTCGAATAAAATGAGTCAAACATACTGAATAGTTTGTAATGTCATAGGTGTAAGACATTTAATTTGATCAACTGGAATCTCATCCAATGATGTATGACAAAGATATTTATTTAAACAAGCGAAAATTTGTTGATTTAATATTTGAAATTTTCGTATCCGTTCGGTAAATGCTGGTAACGACTAAAAAATGGGAAACAAAAATGAATTAATTCGAAACAAACACAAAATACTAGAAACAAGTCGGTATCAACGATCGATTCTATCTCTCAGAAGCATTAGTGAACTTATTACATATCAAAATTTAATCAATGAACATACCACATTTTTAACTTCATCTTCTTTTTGATCACTTCTGTTAACTTTAAATAAATGATAAGCAAAATCGTATGTTTCAAATCTTCTATGTTGATTTAATAAACGTATTATTGTACAACCGGCAAAATTTAAACCTTCACCAAATAATTGTTCAACATTAAAATCTGTCTCTTTAACTGGTTGACAATAGACAAATTGTATTGCACTCCATACACGATGAAATTCAAATGTATCATCAATATTATTCAATGGACTTGCTGATGATATTGATGTTGATGATGATGATGAATCTGTCCATACTGGATCTTCTAGTAAAAATGTTCGAATACGTTCTAACATTACTTCGAATGTTGTTAGACCAATACACAGCCGTTCACGTGTCAAAAGATCAGCTTCTTCGATTAATTTACCTTGCTAGAATAAATAAAAACAGATGGTATGTTTGCATTCCGGCCATTTCATGTAATTCTGCTATAGTAAAGCTGATTGCATTCCCGTTTTTAGGGAACTTCAAAAGGTTATAACTGTTTAAGAAAAAGTCGTCGAAAGTTGCTCAACATCTCATAAAATGAAGATTCGAAGTTTTTTAAAACTAGATTTAGTAAACTCCTGAAAAGTTTTCGTTCGGATGGTATAGGAAGATAATTGGAATGTACTATTTTGGAAAAAATCAAGTTGAGAAGGCTCTCTTTTCTCCGCTATACCATCCGAACGAAAAGTTTTCAGGGGTTTATTTAAATCCAGTTTCAAAAAACTTTGAATCTTCTTTTTTAATGAGATGTTGAACAACTCTCGACGATTTTTCCTTAAAAAATGATAACGTTTTAAAGTCCCCTAAAAACGGTAATGCAATCACCTTTACGGTAGCAGAGTTACGCGTAGAATGGCTGATTAATTTATCTTCTATTTACTTTTTCATTTCCAAGTTTTTTAACAATTGCCACAATTTGCATGGCAGCATATTTTGCTTCTAATCGACGAATTTTAATTTCAAGTGATTCTCCTTCTAAATGATGACATACAATCCGTAATAAATGAGAAATAATTATTAGTATTTTACTAACCTTTAGCATACGGACGCGGTATCAAATTTTGAAATGGTGCTGCTTGAAGTAGATCTTTCACTTCTTCTTGAGACTTAAATGAAAAAGAAAAACATTAAGACTATGGTCTAACAGTGCTCTTTACTTTGTCATCGACATAGTTTTACTCCTTTTCTAGCTTAAAATATCAAGCTTCCACTTTCAAACATTTTCAATATCATAAGATATCGGTATTTTTCATAAGTCAAACACGTCGAAATGATTTTGATTTATTATTTTAACTTCTTTAAATCGTAACAGTATTTTTGTTTTTGGATAAAAGAACATTCCGTTGTGAAAGTCCTGCCACATGAGAGTTAAGATGACATTATATAACAGTTTCCATTCGAAAAAAAAACATCTAATTAACCTCGCTCTTCTATTCTTTAAACATAACGTTCAAATAAATGTCATTTTTCGCAAAAGATGTCATATAGATTATATCAGCATACTTTAGTGCGTGTCCAATAAGAAGATTAAAGTAAAAATATAAGAGAGAACAAGAATTCGTCATACATAAGTAAATTGATAGACCGTTGGTAATAATGAGTGATCATAATACTCCAAACGTCATACGAGTGTACAAGGATGAGATTCGAAAAGAATAATTTTCTATTAGATTTTTCAGATAAAAGTTCAAAATCTTTCAGGATTTTTAGATAAAAAATTTTAGGAGAGAACTTTTTTCAATGTTTGTATCGATTCTTTTTAAAGGCCATAACCGTATATTTTTTTGCCTTGCTGCATATTTTCACAGATTTACCTGCGAAGGTCTCTGAATCATACGTGAGACACTGTCCCACATTACTATCAGAACAGAAAACAGAATGAGCATAATATAAACAGCAAACACGTGCAGATATACATCATATATGTAGGTCGATTGCATTGCAATTGTACCATTTCAGAAAAAACAAAAATAAAAAAAATCAAATTACGAATAAAAAAATCTGAGTAGTATATTCGATAGATTACTGTTGATTGTCTATGAATATAATAGTTTTTCAACTGTCAGGTAAGTGTCTGTGAAGAACAAGGGAGAGTTCTAGGATAAATCTAAGTCTGAAAGTTTTTGAGAACACATACAAGTGTGATATATCATTCGATAGATCTTGTCAAGACGCATCGATTGGTGTATGAGACAGGGGTAGCGACCCTCAGATTTAAGTACACAGAGAGTAAGCACGTGAAATACATGAACAAAAACAGGTAGTATTTAATAAAATATAATTAATCATTTAGGTATCAGGAAAGATCGCGTTCTAATGTTTGTGTGATTTTAAACTATTTTTTTTCTCATCGTTTAAATCTGGTGTCTGTGGTTCCGACATACGAGTGACACAAAAAAATTCGGAGAGTTTTATTCAAGACAACGTTGCATAGGCATTGACCTGTAGAATCTCAATTGATATACCTTGACGTACCTGTTGCAACAGTTCTCTGGATAGACAAAAATACTACATTATAAGTGTAATGTCAAATTATACATTGACATGTTAACAATATCCAAGATTAAGGGGGGGGGGGGGGGGGGGGGGGGGGGGGTGTTTCGACCCGGTTTTTGGGCCCTTTTTGTCC